TTGGGATTTTCTCTCTCTCCCTCTTTTTCCGCCCCTCCCTGCTCATGTTCTCTGTCTTGAGATAAAGAAGCTTAAAAAAAAGTTTTGAGGTGGCCAGGGTGGCTGGGCCCCAACGAGGGAGGGGGAAGGTGGTATTGTTGCCATCAGAAAGGGAACAAGGGCATGGGTTTTAGGATTTAGTCTAAGTGCAGCCCCTCGTTTGACCAGAATAGAGGTTTCTAGAGAGCCTGGGAGCTTGATGAGGAGGCAGGACTGGGAAGACTGGAAGTGCTCATCTGCTCATCCACCGTGGCTGTAAGCCTGAAGGGCCTTGATGGTGGGGCAGGGCACTTACACCAGAGGTAACAATACCACATCTCTGAAACACATACTGTACCCATCCCTGCTCTAAGTGAACTGACATGCCTGAACACCTGCCCTCGTGGGACTTCCATCCTGGATGGGGTCAGTTGGGGGGGATATGTTCTCTGGGCCAAGGGCAGGGTATGGCGCAACAGGCTGGCATTTATTATAGGGAGTATCACTCCAATATACTCGGGTACTTCGTGGCTAGGATAACACAGCCCTTGCCCTTCCGTGGTCCCAGTAACTGCAGGCTGGGAGGGTGGAGGGTACTCCCTTGACACGTTAGGATTCTCTACTTTGGGGGGCCTATCCTTAGGTTGGGAGACTGGTCCCACAACAAAGCACTCAGAGAGTGAAATTGCTCACTTCCAGGAAGGTTCATATGGACATTGCTCCCACCTTAGCCACATGCCAGTGGACTAAGGCTTCTCCTGAGACTCAGCAGCTAGGGATAGAGACATCACCTCTAGTGGTGGGTCCATCAAAGCCAGATTTTCTTCTGGTAGCCAGGGACCGGGGGCTCCTGCATTCTCTGAAGTCCCAAGCAGGCACATGCGCAGAGATGGTAGCAATGAGCATGTAATCTGGGAGTTCCAAAGTATGAGCCATGGAATGAGGCCATCGGAGAGATGGCAGAGATGCCAGGGGCATGAAGGGGAGCCCAGATATCCACACTTAACAGGGATTTAGGAGAGACTCCCTGGAAAGAAACAGACAGCCAGGGCAAGTCTCCCACTCCATCTTCTAGACCCCTAAGGACACGGAAAGCCTGAAAGTATGAGACCCTAGTGGAAGGAGACAGCGTATTTCCAGAGAAGGAATGTGCAGGGGCAGACTTCCTGCGCGCGCGCGCGCGCGCGCGAGAGAGAGAGAGAGAGAGAGAGAGAGAGAGGGAAAGGAGAGAGGAGGGGAGCAGGCAGACAAAGACACAAATGCATACACAGAGATGAGATGTGCATCTGGAGTTAGAGACCACCCAGACAGGGACAGAAGGGAAGAGAGAGGCCTCCAGACTCACCAAGACAGAAGACAGGTGGAAATCCCAAAGCTCAAAGAGAAACAGAGAAGGTAGCAAGGGAGACAAACACTCATCCTCAGCAATAGAAAAGCCCTGCTCTGACACACCACCCTTGATCCCTGGTGGTCCTGACCCTTCTTCTAACACAGGAGGTCCCAGGGTGGTAGCTTTTCTCTAAAGATGGTTGCCATCAATTTTTTCCTATAGGCTACACCCCCATGCAGAGGAGCCCTGAGGCACCATAGAGGCAGCCCAGGCTATCCTGCTGGAGAGAGAAGCCCCGTGGAAGACCAAAGAGCCAGACATGTGAATGAAGAAGCCATCTTGGACGTCTATCCCAGCTGAGCCCTCAGATGCCTCCAGCCCCAGCCAGCATCTGACTGCAACCTCCTGAGGTCCCAAGAAGAGCCACCTGCCTGAGCCCAGTCAACCACAGGACCATGAAAGACAATACTAAATTGTGTTAAGCCACTAAGTTTTAGGGTGGGTGTTACCCAGAATACTCCAAAACAGGCTGCAGTGGCCTGTGAAGACCTGATACCCCCATTCTCACATCCCCTCCTTGCAACAAAACCAACACCAGCCAGTCAGACTTTCAGTCCCTTTAATTAGGTGCTCTGAAGAAAGGGCAGAATGACAGGCAGGCGGTGAGAAGATGATGCTTCTTAAGCCCCACTTGGCAACTGGTCAGTCCTCATCCTCCGGAAGCTGGATCTTGCTGGGGTCAAAGCAGTTGGATTCCATGATGGGGAGGCCATTGGCCTCTCGGTACTTAACAAGCCTCTCAGCTTCCCGGCGGGCCCACTCCTGCATTCTGGAGGCAGCAGCAAGGGAGTAGACATGAGGGAGCCACACTGGACACCAATCCCCATCTTAGTCCTCGCCTATTCTCCACTGGCACAAGGAACAGGATTCCTGGCACAGTCCCCTTCAACCTCCACCCCTGCATCTGCTCCCACCCATCCCACTCTCTTGGACACCCCCATGCACCTGTAATCAGGCAGATAAGCTATAAAGGTGCTGCCGAGGACCAAGACAACGGAGAAGCCAAAGAAAAAGACGACCCGCATGTTCCAGACGTCCGTAACAGGGTCTCTGTCATAACCGTGGGAGTCTGGGTTCTGTGGCAAGAAGAAGAAGAGGTCAATGAGAGCTTCCTGTGGCTCCACAAAGCCTTATGCTGGCCCTGCATAAGTTGGTCTCCAGTTTCACCTCAGACCAATCTCTCCTCCTTTCTTTAATTCCTCTTTCTAGTCTTAGGACTTGTCAAACTCCTTGCTACCGCAGGGCCTTTGCACTTACTATCCCCGCTGCCTGGAAAGCCTTCCCCCCATATCTTGTCGCGGCTAGACCTGTCTCCTTGTTCAAAGTTTTGGCTTCATAGCTACTTCCTTTAGGAGGCATTCCCTAATTGCCTTATCCATTACCAGTCTCACACTACAGGAAATTGCCACTTTTATGGGTTAAAAATGCTTGAATAGTGCCAATTTCCTATGGCTTCACCTGCTAAAATTTTGCCCTACCCCCAAATCACTCTCCATCTACTTATCTTGCTTAACTCACTTTCTAGCAATTATTAATTTACCAAGGTAGCATCTCCCCAGATCCTATCACATTATTTTTTATCATTACATACTCACTACGACCGTTTCCAAATATTTTACATGTTTATTTTGTGCTCTCCATTATCATATAAGCTCTATGAGAGCACGGGCTTTATCCAATTTCCACACTGCTGAACACACTAGGGCCCTGAACTGCACCTGGCATACAGCAGGCCCTCCATACTTATCTACAAAATGAATAAATGAATATGCATCTATATATCCTATATATCCAAGCCAGAGGTTAGTACTGATGAAGTGTACCATACACAAACTTCACAATATCCCAGCAAGGTGGAAAGTAACAATAATAATTAACATCTTCTAATGCTGAATACTAAGGGCCAGGTGCTGTACTGAGCATTGTGACTCATTTAATTACATGAGGCAGATGTAGTATTTTATTTTCTAGAAGGTGTCTTAATACTTTCCCCACTTTACAAAGAGGCACCAAGGAGTTAAGCTGCTTGTCCAAGGTCACAAAGATGAATAACTGTCAGCGCCTGTATTCCAACCGTGGCATTCTGATTTTTGAGTCTCTGCTATCCACACAGCACAGCAGACCCGGTTCCGCCACGTATTCAGCCATGCGAGTTTGGGCGAGTCGCTTAATATCATTAAGTTTCAGTTTCCTCATCTGTAGAATGGGTATGCTAAATAGTCCCTACTTCCAAACAGGGCTGTTTTGAGGATTACATGAGATAAGGTACGTAAAGTGTTTAAAGCACTTGCACTGAGCAAACCCCGTATCAGTGTTCAGTATTATTACCGTTATACTATATTGCTTCTAACGTGTTTTGAGCACTTCCCACTTCAGGTTTGATTATTTGTCTGCAAAACGAGGCCAATCTCGCCTCTGGCCCTGAACCGAAGATTACCAGGGGCTAAAGAAGAAAATCAATCTAGGCAAAGTTCCCAAGTCTTTGAGGCCTTCGCCAGCAGCGCACTTCTCAGCCGCCTAAAAACGTCCTCTAAGGCGCCCCGTCCGCCGACCCCCGATTGACCCTTCTGGCGTCCCGTTGCCCCCTCCCTCTCACCTTCTCATAGAGGTTTTCGTCCTCCGGCTCTGGGTCCTCCTGCCAGCGTACAGTCGGTGCCGGCGCCCGCTTTCCTGCCACAGCCGACGGGGCGATCACAGCCCTGGACGAGCTGGATTCCCAGCGAACACGGGCGGCCGGGAGCCCTCGCGTCGCCGCTACTGCCGAAAGGCGGCGAGCGCACAAACCTAACAGCCCGGCCGCCATGGCAGATTGTTCTACAGACTCTCAGGGGCGGGGACGGAAATGCGACTCTGCGCAGCTGCAGTTGGCCCGAGCGCGACAATTATCGCTCCGCCCCACCGCACTAAATAAGTCCCAAGTCCGGATTTTGTTTTCAAACGTGGCCAGGTGCTGAGTAGCCAGCCCTCTTTCCCTCCATTTGTCCTAGCCTCAGGGGAGCGACCATTTTTTTAACCTCTCGGTCAGGCTAAGGAATTTACGGCTGAGAGGTCTGCCCATTTCCTTGATAAGGAAGTGTTGACACTTGGATGGATGCGGGTCCCAGTCAATGGCCCGGAGATTTCCTCGGTCTTTTGGGTAAAGGGACGGAGCTTCCGCTTGTCTTTCACGATTCGGAGGAAGCAAAGCTTCCAAAGAGCGGGACTCGCTGGATTGGCCAATAGCTACTCCTTTTTGCAACTTGCGAGCGTTCGCACGGAGAGTGGGGAGGTGGCATATGCTTGCCAATCAGAGCCGACCAGGGCTGGCCATCGGCAGCTGGCGACCAATAGACGAGACCGACCAGAGCGCGCTCCCTTAGTAGGTGGATGGTGGTCGAAGCGCCGGCTCCCTTCTCGTCGTCGCCATTTTGTGCTGGTGACTGCGGCCGGCTGGGAGTAGGCGGCAGTGGGTTTCCTGGGGAGGGTAGCGCGCTTGGCGCTTCTCCCCTCCCCGCTCTTCCGCCCTCTTGCTTCCAGCCTCAGACTTAACGCTGGTGCGGGCCGGCCCCGGCTGAGCTGGGAGAGTTGGAGGAGGTGGCGGCGCGCAGAGGTGATGTCCGGGAGCCCTCCCTTGACAGCCCGGGCCGAGAAGGTGAGCGTCGCCGCTGGTCGTGGGGGCGGAGGTAAGGGGCCGGGGGCGGGCGGGTGCGGAGAGGAGGCGTGTGGGCGGACTGCGGGACGTGGGCCTGGGCCACGCGCGGGACCGAGAGATGCGTGCATGGCCTGAACTCGGGAGGGGGTGTCTCTCCCCCCCCCCCTCCGTTTTGGGAACGGAGGCGCGTGCGCGATTGGGGCACAGGATGGGTGCACGCGGGTTGGGGGAAGGGAGGAACTGATTTGAGTGGGCTTCTGTGGCTGTTTGCGACACCGAACTTTATCCGTGGGGAGGCCCATGTTTTTATGCATACGGGAGAGGGTGTGCTGTCTGCTCGGTGTGACTTGGGTACTTACCGGTCTATGGGGGAGTATTCTGTGGCTCTGGTCCTTATTCTTGGGTGGGGGGGGGGGG